TATTTTACTACACTATCATTCAGTACTTTTTTCTTTATTATAACTTTTTCAGTTTTGAGTTCTTTGAATTACTAGAGCGAATACAACATTTTCTTTAATGGGAGGGAGTGTAAACTTTCAAGCACAACTGTAAACCTCCTTTTTTGCACATATAAGTGCGAAACCTGTCTGTTTAAGGACCTTAGGTCAACAGCAGTGCTGCGCTGGGCATGACAAATAGGAGTTGACATAATTTGCAAAGAGGCAAAAAAAATGAAGATATGGGTGCAATAGGGAGGATTTAAAAAGTCACTTTCGCTTTTGAATTTTGAAGGTTATATTTAATAGTTCTAAAGCAAATAAAATCGCTTGCTCCACTTTGTAGTTTTATTATTAAAGATTTCTGGGCACTCTGCATCACCTTCCTTTCCATTTCATTATTTCATTGAACACTACTTTGTGTTGGTCTCCCGAATAGATTTGTCTCTTTGCAAGGTTCCAGTTTCAGTTACCTTTGATGTCCCTGTGTACAATCATGTTGCTGTGCAGGTAGGAAACTCCCTGAAGGATCTGCCTGGTGTATCTTCTAGTCACCTTCTCCGTCAGAGCCCCGTAGGCTTTCAGCTGGTCCTTTATAGAGCCCTGGAAGAAAAGCCCAACAGAGGAGCAACGGTTTCTATGAAAATGTGTGAAAGAGTTCCAAATGAAGAAAAACTGCAAACAAAAAATGTGTGGAGAGACGACTGCCTGCTGCAGCGTCTAAACTCTTTTTCTTTGCTCCTTTTATATATATGCAAAAAACCTGATCCTGAACCTACAACAAGCAGAACTAAACCTATTTTTTTTACTTAAAGCTGTCAACAACACACCCTTAAGATAAATCTGAATCTTGCACAACTAAACCATCAGCCTCTCCCCTGGGCCACTCAAGTTTTATCGGGCTCAATCTTTAAACCTTTGCCCTTGTCACCTACTATCCTCCTCCTGCCAACTCCAACATACCATAAACATTTCCATTTCCAGACAATGTGTGACTAGGATTAAGAAATAAAAAAAATAAAAAAAATAAAAAAAAGGTCTACGGGCACTAAAGTGCTCATTTACAGAGAAAATGATCTCATAAAACGGGTTATTCTGCTCAAATGATCCATTGAGACTATGTTTGCTGATAGCTGACAATTTCAAACTGTTTTCCAGCTGCAATCAACTGCCTGGGTTTAAACCTACATGGATCTAGTTCTGTTTCCATGTTCAGTTAATAAATGCTCACAGTTTATCCTCTAAAACCATTTTAACAGTAATCACAGTTCAAATTTGTCCTTGTTGTTTATTACTAACTATTTAAAGTATGATATCTAGTAGAGTCAAGATCAAACAATTGTAAAACTGACAAATTTTGCTTTCAGGTCACAGGACACTGCAGCACAGATTCATTCCCCAGGAAAATCTTTTAAAATTCTTTCAAACTCTCCCTTATAGTAAAAAATAAAAATCCAGATTTAGACTAAATGGTTTAATAAATAAGATTTTCTCCATTTGCTCATATGACAGTTGGAGAAAAAGTTTAGCCGTGATGTAAAGCATCAAACTAAAACTTCATTCCTTTGCTCTTCTTAGCTGCAGCTGCAAACCAACAGCTGGATGCAGCACAACGTCACTGCTCACCATCAACACCACCAACAACACTTTAGATGGTTCATATTCAATTTAAAGGAGGGAATGGCACTTGGTTTTTCTCCTAGGGCTCCAGGCCTTACTATGAATTTTGCTCACTATGAAAGTCAGCTCATAGGCTTATTAACTCCTAAAAATAAATTCAATTTAGGAAAGTCTAAATGACATTTTAATACAACTTTCTAATCACTTAGTATAATAATATTAAATATTTCATAGTTGACGTTTAAGATGTTGCATTTTAATGTATGTTTGACTAATGACGTTAATTCAAATTTGTATCCTTAAGCCTGACTCTTAACCACTTTACTTTTTGTCTTTTAAAATCTAAATTTTGAACAGTTTCCTAAATACTAAGCAGTATTTATTTAGCAATATGGCTGCAAAAATTGGACAGATCAAAATCAGAAAGGCCCTCATCTAACAAGCTAAATATCTCGAACTGTTTACTTTTGACAACTGGAAAATAACACCAAACCCTCCTTTGCATTATATTTCATGCAAAACTGATAAAGAAAATACCAAAGCCCTTGTATTGTTTAATAAAGGTGCTAGCGTAGCAATCCAAACTCGGCTGGAGTTACTATCACAAATTAAAGCTTTTCAAAATAAATGTGGCATATGCAGATTTGCATGCAGTAATAAAGCCGTAAAAGACTGCGGTCTTATGGAGGAAGGAAGCATAAGAACCAGAACATGAACACAGAAGTCATCCAGTTTGAGTTTCACTGTTGCACCAGCCTTCTTTTTGAAGCAGCTCAGGTTTGCACTAAAGACTTTTCAGCTTTAAACTTTGAATCACATTCAAATACAAACCAGTTTTAAGCCTCATGTAAAAAGCAGCATAATAAATGAAAACTTTTCTGTTCTTAAACTGATTTGATTTAAAGGGTGTGTACGCAAGTTGCATAGTTTAAGTTAACTGAAATGTATTTAAAAGTCTTCCAGTAAATTCAGATATGCTGTCTAATTAAAAGTGTAACTAGGTAAAAATAATTTCCCTGCTGGCTTTTAGATTTATGTACTTTATTCATCAAAAGAAGGGAAACTGTTTTTGACTTGAGCAACATTTATTTACCAATATTGCTTTTTGCTGTGAGTAAGCAGAGACAGTAAATTGTTTCTAAAAATAAGATGATAGTCTGATATGGGGCTGAAACTATTAATCGGATTAATCCTGATTAAATCGAGTATAGAGATTAAAAAATACCTTTAGCTGACAGAGCAACCCACTTAGATCAGTTATTAAATCAAACTGTAAAAAAAATATATAAACATTTTACATTTAAGATAAAAAAAAATGTTTTGGTCTGTCAATAATCTGTATCCAGAACTCCTTAAATGGAAAAGTTTGAGTTTCACCTGGTTTATTTTTGTAAAAAGTCTTTTGCAATCCGATTTTTAATTGATTAATCGAAAAATTAATCAACAGATTAATCGATTAATAAAATAATCTTTAGTTTCAGCCCTAATTGATACATTATGTAAATCAAATTGATGGTATTCAAACTTAACTAACTTTGATAAGTAATATTGTGAATTATTTTTGAATAGTAATGTATGATCTTACACAGTTTGTATTTAATACTTTTGTTGTGACTTCCTGAAAAGGCTGGGGGTTATTGGTGGTTGGTTGATTGTTACTCTTCTATTTTTTGGAAAATTGACTATTTACGATACAACTGTAATCTGCATACCGTGTGAATAAAATACTTTATTATAGAAAATTGAGCATTCAGCATAATGCCACCTCGATCTTAAAATCCTAGAGCAAATGATTTCCTGAATCAAAAACAAATAACATTACAAATACACAACTACCGTGTGGCGGGATACGCACCCCGGGCATGAACTCTACAAAAATGGTGAGTTTTCTCTGTTCCAGGTCTCGGAGACAGCCGTAGTACTGGACGATCCTCTCGTGACGCAGGTTCTTCAGCAGCTGAATCTCGCACTCTAGAGCATTTACTTCCTGCAGGAAAGAACACAAAACTAAATCTATTAAATCTTGGGAGAAAAAAACAAACAAAACAACAATAGCATATGTAATTATTAAGCTTATTCCAAGCAAATGAAAAGACAAATCCCACCTTGCTTGTTTCCTGACAGTCCGGATCAAACGGCACCTGCTTGGCAGCCAGCTCACGGCCCGTGTCTGCATCATAGCAGAGGTAGACCTCCCCAAACGCTCCTCGCCCCAGAAGCTTTCCCTGCCGCCAGTTGACTGGCGCCCGCGGGGCTGCAGAAAGCAACACCAGATGATGAAAAACCTCCATGTACTATTTTCTGTCTACTAAACAATCCCTGAAAGAGACAGAAACGCTGTGATAAACTGATCTGAGCGCACGCCGAGTCTGCTGCAATAACACATTACTCCGACAGTAAACCAAACAAGACAAGACGTCAAATACACCACAGTTTGTCAAATTACTCCAACCGCAGACCCTCTCCAATTCAGGGAAACCCCTGATAAGACAGCCAGGCGGGTAAAAACCACAACCAGCCGATGCAAAGTTGTCAAAACCTGAGAAAGAACGTCTCAGCAGCTCTCATCCTCTCCAGTCCCAGACTCTGAGACTTTGTTTTTGAATTAGCCGTCTTCTTTGTGGCTGTGTTAGCCTGTTTGGTCGTGCGTGGGTGAGGACGGCGAGACACAGACATCGACCACAGACTGCTGAGCTGAGCTCTGGCAGGATGACAGAGAGGGTTTCTGAACCAACTGCAGATGTGATCAGTGCGACTGTAACATGGACGGGTCTGCATGACGAGAGAGGAATTACGCCTCGCATTACTGTACATCACTGCTGCTCTTCTACACCCTGCATCACCAAGAATTCAAATAAGGCTGACAGATCAGGGATTATTGCTGAAACGGCTTAACAACTGAAGATTTTCCTCATTTCTGACGTGTTAATGGGAGGAATTCACTGTGAACTGTTAAAACATTGAAGCAGGGTTATGATAAACTTCTCAACTTAGTCACTGAGTGAAATTATATTAAAAAAAAGGAATTATGCCTAAAAAAAAAAAAGGATTAAGCAAAACTAGTTGAAACTCTAGTGCTTTTCTTTGAAACTGTTTTATATAAACCTTTTACAGGTTCAGTCCAACTACTTACATTTGGCTGTGCCCCTCTGGCAGCTCTTGTCTGCCGTACGGCCCAGCGAGCGCAGGTCGCTGAATGTCAGCGAGCCGTCTCCGTTATAACTGCGCGTGCGACTGGAGGGAACCAGCTGGAAGAGGTTCTCCTGGGGCATGAAGCTGCGCGGGAGTGTCCTGCGACCTGAAAGCAGAAACACATTATTTTTCCTCCTTCGCTCATTCCGTTACTTATTAGTGGCTGTAGAGAAAGAGGCCAAGATTCATCACTGGCCCGAGTCTCTCAGCACTCAGTCCCGCTTCCCTTCAGACAGGAAGAAGGCCACTATGTTTTTTTTTTGTTTTTATACAAGTTTGGGTCCGCCAGAGGGAAACATAAATCACAGCTAGTCAAGGTTAGCCTCTGAGTGAGCAATTGCTTGCAGCTGCCTGGAAAAGCCCTGCAGCACTTAATGCACCAAATCTATATGAGAAAAGTAGGATTTACAAATCTGTATCGTTGATTCTCTGCTTTAATGTTAAGGTTAATAATCGCTTAAATGGGTAGTAAAGGGGATTTCTTACGATCTCCATAATCCTTGCTGCGGTTGGGCAACTGGAATTGCCGTGGAAAAGTTCCTCCTTTCGGGTGTCGACCTGAGGAAATAAAGTATAAAAATCTTTATGCACCAAAGATCTCAGCTTTACCCTCAATGTATTTCTCGCTTTAGACCCCATTATTTATGCGATCCTCAGCTTCAAACATGCACAGACATACTGATAGAGAGCAGCTATAAGTGAGGCTGACGCTTCCCCATTTCATATCTGACAAGTTTCAACCCCTTTCTCCGGCTCATTCGTGCATGTTGCGTCAAAGTTGCGCTTGAATCAAAAATGACGCAAGGCTTAGGCTTTCTGCAGCCCAGGCAGAAACAGAAAAGAAAAAGAAAATAGGCCATTTCTTGGAGAAGTATTAAAGGCAGGTGGGGAGCCCTGCTGACGCACGTGAGCGCAGAACCCCCTCATTACACGCTTTGGAATAGGAGGGGGACTCACCCTCAATTGAAAGCAGCTGTTCTGTCAGATGACGGCTTGCACTCGTGCTGTTATTGTGGCTCTATCCCCATGGAGACGAGAGTTATTTTTTGTGTTTGGCAGCGCAGGACGGAGAGGAAAATTCTGCTCAGAGGGAATGATAAACACTGTAGGGGAGCTGGGCTTTATATCTGAATAGAAGAGAGCGAGTGTGTGTGCAGTTGTGTCTTTATGTACCGTGCACAACATCTGCAGTATTTCTTTTTTTTTTTTACTCTATGCATGAGGGGGAGCAACTGGTCCGAAACTTCAAATCAGCAGAAGAGATTTGGAAATGTTCCGCTTACAATGGTTAGGAAGGCACTGTCTTGATCAGTGTTGTAAATAAACAGATGGGAACCCAGGAGCCTCCAGGAGAGGGGCTTCTAGGACCGATGAGGGATTTTAACAAGCCGCTTGCTTGATTAAAAAAAAAAGAAACTATGCAGAAGTTTTATTATGGGCGATAAGAGCAAGAAGGGAGAAATGAAAGTAACTCTATCCAGATTTTCATTTCTAAAAATTAAGAAACCGTTTGATTGTCATTCCAATACGCACTGCTTTTTATAGGTCTTTCTCATTAATACCACATAAAAAAGGTAGATGATCTAATGAATCTAATTTTACCAGGAACTGTATATTGCTGAGCTCTTCTAAGGAATCTGGGTGTTTTGCATTTCTAGAACAGAAAATTCTGAGGAACTGAATGTGGTGCAAAATTTAGAACAAAAAAGAAAAAAAAAATCAATTTTATGCAAAGCAAGCTCTATACCTTGTCTTTCAACAGAAGCTGGACAGAATAAACTCAGCACAAAACAAGCTGTTTTATTTTATTATTATTTTTTTTTGCAAACTGAAGAAGCTGCAGCAGATTTGCTCTCTCTTACCTTTGTATTCGTAGTTGAGGTTCAGGTAATTATTGTCCCTGTTGTTTTGTGAGTAAGGAGGGCTGAAATGATAAAGAACATGGAGGAAAGTTCAGAAATCCTTCGCTAGTCTAGTTGGTAATTTCCCTTATCTACAGAACAGAGTCTGGCCAGCAGCTTCAAATTAAAGCAGAGCGACACAGCCTCTAACTGCTGCTGGATGTTTAAGAAGAGTGTTCTGCTTTAGAGCTGATAAGCTGGGACCTCTTTGTCATAATAAGGCAGTGAAAGAATGGTTTGCGGCGCTGCAACGTTGAACAGGCAGCCAAAGTAACTTTGCTGTATTTTTCATTATAAATGAATTCTTTAGCCTCCTACTTTCCCTGGGTGTTTGTGACCAGCCCCTCCAGAGAGTGACGTCTCTGCTGACCGCAGGGCGGCGCGGGGCCACGAGACCCTGGATAAGGGGCACGCATGCCCGCTCCGGGGGGAAAAGTTCCATGCACTTGTTTCCTGCCATTGTTCTGCAGCTCAGAGCGCTGATAAGCCTTGTGCAGGTAGAACAGTTTCCGTCCTCCGCTCTCTCTCAAACCTCGCTCTCCCTGGCTTTTTAATTTTCCTTTCGATACAGATTTCTTCTCTCTCTCATGTCAGTTTTTCTTTCTCTTTTTTTTTGTTTCATGTTTTCTTGCTCAGCCTTTTCATCTTCAAGCTCCATCTGTCACTTGTCTCTTCGTTCGCTGCAGTGATAACAGAGGAATCCAGGCGTCCAGATAAGAAGTCTGGTCACTATAGCAACAGCAAAATGACCTGATTTTTTTTTTTTTTTCCACACAGTCAGCCCAGGAAGGGTCAGATATACGAATTTCACTTCCTGGCTGCCATTTTTGTGTCTTTTTTATTTAAGCCAGACCTCATGTCTCTCTGAATACGCCTGGTCTCTATGATTATATATCCATGTTGATAATCTGCATCGACACTCACCTGTCTAGAGCTTGATCTATTGACTGACAGCTGCTCGACAGAGAATTGCCCGCGCTGCCGAAGGGATCCAGCATCTGACAGATACAGGGACACAGAGGGAGCAAAGGGTCACAGAGCAGACAGTAGGATGGAGACAGATGGATGGCTGTCTGTACAGAACGCAAGCCTCGGACATTTTAACACAGCAAAACACAAGGACAGGTTTGGAATTTGAGCACAAATGTCATCTCTCTACAGTGTGCTTGTCAGCCAAAAAAAATAAAAAATCTAAAAGTCTAATAGTATCAAACATTTGGAGTAAAAATCCTATTCTGAAAAGCTTTAAAAAACAGCTTTAATTAAGTTTAAAAAATCCTTGAAGCTTTGAAAAGTTTTACTTTCCTTTGCATTAAATAAAACAGCTATTTCAGAAGCGTATGAGCAAAAATGATTAGAAAAAAAGATAATACATGTATGTCTGCAAACATATATAGCTGCTTGGGTGAATGATTGAATGCAGTGTAAAACACTTTGAGGTCTAAGACTTGATAAAGAGCTATATAAAAACAGGGTGGGCAGTAACTATGTAGTCGCATTTACTCAGTTACATGATTATCTTTCTGATAAAAAATACTTTTAAGAGTGGTTGTACTGCTCCATACTTTTTACTTTTACTTGAGTAATATCTTTATGCAATATCACCACTTCTTTCTTTCTCTTTCTTTCTTTCAAGTGCTTCATAAAACGAAACAGTTTTAATGTTCATGTCAAAATAAGTTTACTGTTTTGCACACAGGCTTAGTTGAACCTACCTTGACCTTTGGAGGTCATGCTAACATACAGTAAGGAGCCAATATTGTCACTAAATCTACTGGTTAAAAGTTTGTTTTAGGTTAAAAAGAAAATTGGTTTGGAAAAGTTGTTTCTTCTGCCTTGAATGGGCTCTATGCACAGCTCCACTACTTCCTGAATTTAAGGCAGCTCCTTTGTTTCCTGTCTTTCATTACTGGACGAACTGATTAATCCAGGTGTGTCTGGCCAGTTACTTAGGTCATACACACCTGGATTAATCAGTGCATCCAATCATGAAAGACAGGAAACAAAGGAGCTGCCTTAAATACAGGAAGTAGTGGAGCTGTGCATAGAGCCTATTGTTACTTTCTGATGAGATTGTTTTCTTGTTTTAATTATTTAAAAATATCAGAATGTACATTTTGATCTAATGTTATGATTAGTTACTCAGTACCTGAGTAGCCTTTTTACAGAAAACATTGACATGTTTGAGTACTCTACCCACCTCTGGATATTACCCTTAACAGTTTAAACATTTTCTGTTTTTTTGCCAACACAGTTGTGTATAAAATACATAAAAAATATATTTAAATGTATCACCATATCAGATACAGAATGCTAGTTCACCAATCCCTATTAACGTGACGCAAATAGTATAAAGCATATTGATTTATAGCCAGTAGGGAGGTACTACAGTATATACGCTCGCAGCACATGTAAACTAGAGAACTGCTTCCAATATAGAATAATGTGGGTAACTAATATTAATGCCTACTTACTTAGTAACTGAGGTGTATAGTAAAATAAGACCAAGATAGACCAACATTAACAAAGTTGATCAAGTACTTTTTCATAGCTACATTAACTGGTAATTTCACATGCGTCATGTTTTTTTATATGATCTAATGTTGTCTTGATCTAGACCCAGGGGTCAGATCCAGACCCAGATCAAGCCAAATGAGATTCACTAATCTCTCTCTTTTTTTTAAGCTGAGCACATTATTTTATTATTTAAAATAACGGTATCATACCAAGCAGGTTTTGACCCTTTATGGTGGTTCTCTGCTGCTGTGTAACATGTCTCTCTGTCATATGACCTGCTCTAAGCGCTACGACATGAAGCAGAACACTATTCACTGGATAACTGATGAAGGCAAGTGAAGTCACTTGCCGCCATCTTGGTACTCCCTACTCTCACAATGTCATGGCATAAAAATGCCAATATATATATATATA